CGTTACATTGCTTAAACAAAAGGATTAAAAATTACAATCCCACATCATTACATTGTTGAAACAAAAGGATTAAAAATTACAATCCCACATCATTACATTGCTGAAACAAAAGGATTAAAAATTACAATCCCACGTCATTACATTGCTGAAACAAAAGGATTAAAAATTACAATCCCACATCATTACATTGCTGAAACAAAGGGATTAAAAATAAACAACCAAACAAAGAAGTAATCAACACTGATACAAAAAAATTATGCAATTTCCTGACATGAAAATTTTCTAGTTATTATAAAACGCTTTACATGACTTAACATTCAGTCATTCTTAAACACCCTTGTACATCTTAAGTGCAATACAGAAATTTCAAATCAGTGAAAGAAGCAATAGTGGTATAGATACCATAAAATAATTTGGTATGCAAAGAATGAAACATAACACTACAATAAAGAGGTTAGGTACACAGGAGAGAGATAAAATAAATGTTAATTCCAGATCAGAGTATGCTGTTAATAATTTATGTTGCAAACACTGCCATATTTGACTATCAGCAGGATTTTCAAGAAAGTCTTTAATAATAATTAAAATATGCACTCCACACTAGACAGAAGATAACTTTCTTAAAATGTACTTGAAAATGTTTATTATTTGAAACTGACCAATTTATTAAAATGGTTTAATTGGTGTTTTAATTGTGACACCTAGATACTTGAAAAATACACTACTTACTTATAACGCACATTAGACAAAACAAGTACAATTCTCTTTACTTACATTGTAATATTCTGTTCTGAATGTAAGGGAATTTAAGACTGGAAGTCTATGACACAAACTGTAAGCTTCTCGTAAAATCTCATGATTTTTTGGAACTTTCCCTGCTTGTACTGCTCGCACATAATCTAAGATAAGACGAACTCGACTGTGAAGCATTTTGATAGCACTGTACTGAGCCTGAAGATGTTCTGCCACTGTGATAGAAATAAGATGACTAAATGTTACAACTTCTCATCTTCATATTTCTGTTTCAGCTCATTTCCTGATCATCATACATTGACCTAAAGAAAACTACAAATTTAAGATTTGTCCCACAAAAATTTAGACCATAAATTTGATTTGACCATGTAATCCATTAAGAGATTGTATAAGACTTCTTGTTTCAAAAAAATATTTTATCTTTAATTGGTGGAATACAATGGTAATAGTAGTTAGTTGTTTACATTTGGAAGCTGAATACAAATTACCTGTATGAAAGATACTTCATATGAATTCCAACCAGTAGTGGAAAAATCTTTAAACTGGTTTCAGTATTTAGACAAGAAAAAAAACAAACTAACATCGTCATAACTATTTGATGATTACTAAAATGTTCAATACCTAAATAACAAAATAAAAATGTCACCACAAATCTATACGTGTGTATGTTACATTGTTTAAAGGAAAAATCATTAGAATTAAGATACCTATGTGTGTGTGCATGATATTATAGATGATATAAATTCATCTAAACTTACCAATCTTCACCACATTCATTAGATGATATGCAAGCCCCATGAAAGCTTTTCACAATTCTGTTAGTAAATTTCCACTATCTGTGTCACCATCATCACCTCTAACAGTAGGTGGGTGATACTACTAAAGTGGGAAGGATAATGTTGTTGTGGTAGAGATCTAGGGACATGCCCCCCCCCCCAATAAAATTTTGAAAATCAAGAATATTAGAATCATCACTTTTGGCCCCTTATCAAACAGAACTGACAGCATGGAAAGGTAATAAATGTCTGAATTTATATTATTTCTTTTGTGCATGTTGGGATTTATTGATTTGTCATATTTTGTTGCACATGGATGAGCAGGGAATGGGCATTAAGCTCATACAACTGGCTGTATGATGAGAATATACTGTATTTTACACTTTCCTTGTTCTAGTGATAGCTTTTGAAATGCTTTCAAAACAAGGCAAAGAGAGACTCAAAAACACTGCATTTAAATCATGCTGGTAGAAATGACATACAAAACCAAAATAACCAGGTATATGAGCTGTAATTAGCGAAAGCAGACAGGTGGTTTACCTGGCAACCATGTCTAATAAAAACACTCACTAGATTCATCACACAATATGATTCATGAGAAAGCTTCACAATGTAACAATGAAGTCATCACATTCACTAAACAACACAAATCATAAGGAAACTTCACAACCTACCAAGTGAACTTTCACCAGATTCATTTGATGACATACGAGCCATATGATCCAATCCAATCCTTTCTGCCTCTTCTGTGGCCAATGTAAATGGTAATTCTACAAACAACATAGTGGCCTAGGAAGAACATAAGTATTTATTTTTTCTCTTATTTTCCAACGAGGTTTAAATTTTGCATCAGACATACAAAACTTATAACGTTATCATTAATGTTTTTAAGTTAATAAGCAATTATGTAAAAACTAGTGATAAACACTTAAAATTACATTTTGTGAATTTAATACTGAGATTCTTCATATGAAAAGAACGATTTTCACAAATGTAGTAAAAATGGTGAATTAATATTTTAAAATTGATATTGGCTACCTTCTTACTCATAGAAATAATTCATATAATCTACAAGTAAGAAAAAACTTACACAATACTTTTAAAATTCATCTAGTTTAGAAAGATCAATTTGTATACAAGTGCTTTTCAAATTTCAAAATTATAAAGTGTTATGCAAAGTTATTTCAGTGGAACTTCAAGCACTGTCGACACAGTAAATTTGAGAACTTTAATGGACTATTGAAAGAAAAAGAGAAGATGTTTTGGGTTCTATACTGAGGTCGTTTTAAGAAGAAGGCTTCAGTATAGAAGCTGAATCATCATCACCCTTTCTTTCAACAGGCAGTTGCAGTCTTTTAAAGTTCTCATAACTTTTATGCACAGTTATGTGAATTTTGTTGTTTTTTTTGCTCTTGAGCTGATCAAAGCTTGAATTTTTTAATCTTCAGATCTACAATAACAAATACATGTTACAATTTGAATAACATAAGCAGCTGAACTAGTCCACCTACTTTGTTATTATTACACGTAAATATCTCAGAAACATTACAGATTTGTATCATCTTCCTTCATAGTAAGAATATGAATACAGAGTATACAGTTTAAGCTATTGTTTTTTAATTTGAATTTTCATATTTTACTAAATGTCATGAGTATGGATATATTCTGTAAAAACATATATCACAAGTTTAATGAAAAACTTTAAAATACTCAATTTTTTACTATGAAAAAATAAATATATATGCCAGGATAGGTAACAGAAAAAAACAACAATTTGGTCACTAATACCACATATTATTAATTAGTTTCCAGAACTCAATTGACCAATACTGTAAATAAAATAGTGCTTATGAAGATTTAAAAAACAATTAGAAAGTAAAGTAAAAACATTTTTAGTTCTTTGGCTGCTTTAATGTAAGAATAATAAAAAATATCTTTTGATACAAACAAATTTGTTGAAGCATAATACAAAATATATGATTATACACAAAATCATTCTGAAACCTATTGCAAAAGGTCTTTCAAGTTACCCTATTATACACAGTCTGTGAAAGGCCTTTAACTTAAGATACAAATAAACTCAGCTCAACAAAATGAATAAGGCTGTACAGTGGTGGACATATAGGATGTACAGGGGCCCACCAAGCCCTAATCCAAACAGGTACCAGTATTCTACTGTACATATTCGTACTACATTTGTGTCGGGAAGGGGGCCCAAAATTTATCCCACATATGAGCTCACAACTAAGTATGGCCACCACTGAATCAGTGTTAGAATGACTATTTCATATTTAAAGCCTTAACAATACAAATTTATGTTTTTAGAAAAACAAATTGCTATCTCTGGAAATCACTAAAATTTGAATCCCATTAAAATTTTACTCTGAATTTAAATATATTGTTATTAAGAAACACCTGAAGTAACTAATTACAGATATTTATATTTCCCTTCTTGAACTTGTTTATTGCATTTCCAGCATATCTTCTAAATAGTCATCAAAACATGATTAAAAACATCAAACTGATAAAGGGTAATTTATGAGTCTAGAACTTTAAATTACCTGTCTGTAAATTGTTAGGTAACAAGTCATTTACTTAATCTGTTGTTGCCAGTAAATACTAAAACTGATACAAAATTAGCAATTTTAACTATCTTTTTTTTGACCAAAAATGAACTAATTGCAGAAGAGTAAATCTTACCTCACCACTCACAAGATCAATCACAGACTCATACATGGTGACAGGTAACTGAATAAAAAAACAAACAAATAAATAAAGGCATTGTTATTTCCATTAATTACAGTTAAACAATTTGTTCATCACCAGAGCAAAAGTAAAAATCAAGTGTAATTACAGCTTAAGTCACTTATTAAGAATCTTAGATATGTCACATTCCTAAAAAATTAGTTCTGTACAAAGTACACAGAGCCTTTAAAAAAAAGTGAGCAAGAAAAACTGTTAAGAGTAATTAACTGTTTATCATTTTTGTATTTAACCATCCTGAGTAATTTCTCCAGTTTAATTTTTTCAAAAAGATAAACAGGCAAAACAACCAACATTTTTCTCTTTACATGAAACGTTTTGTGCATGAACAGCAGATCCTTAAAGAGAATTTTCACTTACTGATTTAAATGTGCAACTCATAATTCTAAGGTTCAGTACTGCTCCAAATTATTGCACACTGTTCTTAGTTGTTTAAGGTTTTGAAAAGATTTCCAACCCATAAAACTTTGGTGTACATTACTGAAAGAATAATATTACTTTAATTTCATTCAACTGATAAATCCCTTGCAGATTAAAAGACAAATAAAATACTACAGAAACATGTTCCTGTATATGTTATTAACAGTAAATTTCAGGAGAAAAAAGGAAAACAGAAATTTTATTATCTGACACGCCTAAGAATCAAGTTCACCAACCTCTACCATCTATACAAAAAGTGACTTACCTCTGTATGCCGAGCTTGAGGGTTAAGTTTTAAAAACACTGGACTTTCATTTATTTCACAGATCTGTAATCCAGAAAGAATGATGTAGAGAGAATGACACTTTATTGGTATTACATAAAAAACAAAGAATATAAAATTAGGTATATAGCTTAACTTATAAACTTAATATTGAATCAAACTAGTTACATGCAGAAGAATTTTCTGTAACATAAAAGTAGACCGTCAACCTCAATAGTTATATATATATATAAATACCACCAAGGCGGTTGAGGCAGCCACCACAGTAAAAATCAGCTGAACTAACATTACTCAGCATTTCAGTCTATCACCACCAAGATAAGCACCGACATTACAACAAGACCAATACAACTTGAATGTATGCTATAACCATTGTAGAGCAGGGCAATTAGTAGAATTGCTAACTGATTAATTGATAGGCTCATTAATCAATTTCATTCAATTAACCCATTAGTCCAGTGTTTCTCATACTATGGTATGTGTTCCTCATTGGTCATCATTGATGTAGAAAAAAATAGGTACACAAATTACAACACTGAAATAAAAATATTGTATAAAAAAGTGGCACTTGGTAGTCATTATCAAAGTAAAAAAATATTTTATAGCTGTAGTCTGCAGATATGTAATTTTATATATTTCTTTATTTTCAATATTAGAATTATGGAGGTATACAAACTTGTACTAAGTCTGAAAAGGGGTATGCCAGCTTTAAATATTTGAGAACCATTGCATTATTCTAACATGAAGTTAATATTACTATCTACAGCTAGTTTTGATGTTTTAAGTAAGTTGCAAATTACCCTCTGTTTAACATAAAACATTTTCTGACAATCGTCATTTGCAAATTTTGAAAAAAATGGTATGGCTAAATTGGCAAAACACAGCTGTTTTTAAAGGTCATTTCCTAATTAGTGAATCAATAATGTAGAGTTCATAACCATACAGTCACCATTTTGTTTGTTTCTAACATATACAGTAATACCCAATGACTTTTTAGAAATTAAATGAATTCATAATTAAAGAGGGAGAATGTGTTTTTCTGTCACTGATAACACTGATAAATGAGAGTAATAATGTTTTTATTTAAAACAAAGATACCAAACTCTTTAACCAGCTTTCACAACAAAGCCCTGTAAACCAAATACATGAAAATATTATATAAATATCATTTTTAATTTGGATAGCCAGTTCTGAATCACTTAAAGACCATTTTATGCCAATACTTTTCACAAAACAATCAAGTTTACCCTCAATTACTTGCCTACCCAAATTAACATTCTCAACATCAATGTTTCTTTAAAGGCTGGAACATTACACACAGACTTGTATAGAAAATCTAACAAATATCTTCACTAGAAAAGCTGCCACTCCACCCACAATAAACAGAATATTATCAAGTTTACCCTCAATTACTTGCCTACCCAAATTAACATTCTCAACATCAATGTTTCTTTAAAGGCTGGAACATTACACACAGACTTGTATAGAAAATCTAACAAATATCTTCACTAGAAAAGCTGCCACTCCACCCACAATAAACAGAATATTATCTAGTCAAGCTTTCCGAATAAAGAAAATCCATTACAGAAAACACACCAAGGATCTGAAACAAACATGTTACAAAGATAATAGAAAAATACTCAACAGTATGGCCCCCCGTGGCATTTTTAAATGCCTTTCTGTATATGGTACTGAGTTATATTCAACATTTAATTAAACCACTTTACTATCAATACATGTCCATGAAATTAACAATATAATGTATGTTATAATTTGTATTTTTATGTTATCTAAGTTATAATTCCTTTGTTTGAAAGGAAACATTTTTAAAAAATGCTTAAACTGCTGTTTTCATGTCACGTGATCCGTACGATATGAAAAATCTCGACTTTAGCAGCAGTTCACTATTAGCCACATAAGCTGGCAATATACACAAGTATCTAAATGCTAACTTACATGTGTTTGACCTATTTGACATGTGAGACCTAAAACCTGTAGCTGCACTGTCTAGGAAACATATATTAATTTTCCAACCCTTGAAGGTTACCACCCACCTTCTATATTTTGCCTTGAGTTCTACAACGTACATATACTTAAGTGGCACAAGTGTATATAGTTGTTACAAAGAGGTCAGTTTACACTACACTCCACCACCTGTTAATTTCAAATTGGCATGCAGTTTTCCTCACAGTGTACGTGTAACTGTCATTAGTATTTTTGCTTGCTTGATTGACTATAGCGCTTATAGTGGTTTCTTACCTTAATATTCTATATTCATGATGCTATAAAAACACGTAGCTTCAAGTCTTGAGAGAGTTGAATAAAAGCCCTATAACCCAAGCACTTTCGAAAGGTGGACTATTCTTCTTCAGGGGCAAACTGGGAGTGTGTCTTCCATTTACACCAACATTCCACATGATGAAGGACTACAAACTCTAAAGTCTGCAGTAAACCTTTCTAACCAATCAGAATCTCAAACAGTAACTGATCTTGCCAGCCTGGTTTTAACTCTGAACAACTTCAAATTCATAATGAGCATCACATTCAGGTTAACAGTACTGCAATGGATACCAAAATGGCTCCCAATTATACCAACATTTTCATGTGTCATGTTGAAAACCAGCTTTTACAACTAAGCCCTGTATATTTAAATATGCTATAGTTAGAGAGACAGTCAATTAGGTCTTACTTTGATATTTTAGTTAATTATGTATTATTTGTGTTTTAAAAATCATACTTGAAAGGTTGAATGATTTTTATAAGTTTAACTTGTTGTTGCTTGGAGTGTAAAAGGTTATAAACAAGATGGTGTTATTCGTGTGTGCAAAGCATTAGTGAAATAAGTTTCTGTACGGGAGTTGTCATATGATAATAATAAAGCTCCAAAGACACCATTTGACATATTAGCATAAGTAATAAAAGACAAAGAATTGGAAAGGAAAAATAAAATAAAAATTAAGCATATTAAAAAATCAAGTTTAAAAAGACTTCTTTGAAGAGCAAAAAGTTATGTACATATTTCCAATTCTTAATTATAAACATTTCAATGCAGTATATGTTGATGATAATAGGTAGGATTAATGAGTATAGAAAATGGAAAAGAAAATATTAACATTCATGTTAAAACACTTTTGATATTCATTTAGAAGATTCTAGATATTATGCAAATGAAATGTGAAAACTGTAAGATAATAAGTAGTATTTTTATACTTCATATAAAAATCACCTTTTAGGTGAACTATTCAGTCTGAGCACACATAACTACACTAAATAACAAATTTATTTATTAGAAATAATAGAAAAAAATTAACATTTAAATATTTATTTTTCTGAAACTACAAGCTTTTAGGAACATTCTTCTCAAATTATAAACAATTTCATCCACTAATTTTATTTTTGAAACAAAATATGATGAGAGCAACATTAGCTGCCAAAAATCTTGGCAGCCAGGTCTTATAGGGTTAAATTGACAGGCAGATTGAAAAAACTAACAACACTGAATGAAAAATCATCCTTACAACAGAGTAATACTAAAGTTTCAAACACAATTCCTCTTGTTATAATCCATCACCTTAAACTGTGAAATGTTTCCTGCATTCTGAAACAAAAATTAATTAACTACAACTGAATGATTGCCTTAGACAAATACTTCCTAAAGTTCCCATCATATCTTTCCAGAAGAGCAGAAGTCTTAAGGAAATCCTTGTCCATGCAAAAGACTCTTAGAGAGCATTTCAACAATCATAAACCTTCTATTAACACCATAAAAAACCTCCCTGTTGCCCAACACTTTAACCAACCCAGTCAATCTATTAACAATGTGACTCTCATCGATATTGAAATCAATTTCAAAACTGAAACCATGTACTCTTCAAAATATTTTTAAAAAATATTTTATTTCTAACAATGAAAGATGTATCCAATTAACTAACACTTCTTGTAGACCTGGCTGAAACTAATCATGCTTTTTAAGAATCTTTTGTTTTTCAAGGGAATAAAGTTTATAAGCTTAATGTAATCATTTGTAAAGAAATGCAAGTACCCCCCATAAGAGCATTATGTTGTTTGAATGATGTACTTCATGACACTGAATAAAAGTCAGCACAATACTAAATATAACAGCAACTAGTAGATAACTACTTGTTAAAAAATTCACCAAAGAAAGAGTAAAAAATAAAATACTTATCATATGGTTGACATACAAAGTTTCAGGAAGGTATACTTATGGAAGTAAAAGTTGCTAATCAATAAAAGGAATAATGTTTAATTGTGTTTGATTTTTAAAACCAATACAGGTAATGAAGGCCCTGGTAACAATAAAACATGTAATGAGATACCACATAACAATAATGCACAAGTTACATGAACGAAAATCCACAAAAAAAAAAAATTAAGGTACAATATAAACAAAGTATAGAAATTACTATACACATACATACATGCATACACATAAATAATACATACATGTTAAAACTATAAGATTACAATTTTTAAGCACTTAAAAATGCAATGATATAATTTGATATTCTATATTATTGCAAATATATTTGTATAAGCATAAACATATATAAAGCAAGGTACATACTCATACAGAAAACTAAAAAAAATCAAAATACTAATTTACTGCAAAAACTTAAGCTGTTAAGATAAAACTTTTATCCAGTATGTAGTATCACAGAAAGGTAGAACTTGTTTGATGCTATTTAGCTTGATGGTTCCCAGTTCAAACATTATCTTGTTTGGTAGAAGTTCATGTTTTTGTTTGTGAATCAAGTAAGACGACAATTTTGAAATGCTCAAAAGCATAATGATGGGAGTTGATACTGGTTTAATAGTAAGTACAGGTTAGCTAACTTACATACGCTTAGTTCTCTGTATTAAGTTTAGAATTTTATATGAACTACATGGAAGAAATTAATTACTTGGTAGTGAACAGAATGTACACAACTCAGTTTAGGCAATCTTCACTGTACAGAGGGGAGAGTAAATGTAACAGCACAGGCCATTTTTATTTGTTAAAGGTGGAGGAGGGGAAGATTATTATAGGTATAAAAATTAATCATTATTTTGTGAACAATAATATTCTAGTACAAAGAGCCAACAATATTTTTAAACAGAAAAATATTAATTCCACACATCTTCAATTCTCTATCCTTATTATAAGTTTATTTGTCATTGCACATTAAGCTGAATACATGATAATTCTACATTCACGGTAACATTGTTAGTTACTTTGTTGTTGTTTTTAGTTTCATATTTGTTCTTTTAGTGAATATGTGTTGTTGTTTTTTGCCTTTTGATACTGTACTTATTTCTCATAAGGTCATGGGCTATAGGCTGAAGTCATCATTAAAAATACACAGTTAATCCAATACACTTTCAATTAAAATACACTATGGAAATAGTAATTGTAGCTGATTTATATACACCATGTCAAATCTTCTTCAGAATTATGTTTTATTAACACCATACATATGATAATTTTGTTTCTAACACAAACCAAACTACCAAAATTTACTAAACCAAACTAACTTAATAATATAAAGATTGTAAGGTGTTCATTTTTCTATTTCACAATAATATGCAAGCTCTGTTTAAATTGTAAACTCTTATGTTGTAGTGAGAGAAAACATTTTGAATTGTATATACAATTAATATACTGTTGATATGTTAAAATTATCTGCAAGATAAACCCCCAATTTTCAAAATAAACTTTACACATGTGACAAATTTTATTAAGGTAATACTATCCAAAATTACCCCCAATTTTCCACACTTTTGCTGAAGAATGTACACTTTATTTTTGAATTTTTCACCAGTTGTACAATACCTTGTGTTTTAATTTTTTTAGAAACATCATAATGGGACTCTTCCACAGAGTAGATCGATAACTATAATATGCATTGAAAAAGAAAGATCACTGATTGTCATAACAAGTGAAATCATAATTACGTGAGGTGTATTAACACTTGCACACTAAACTATTTCTTTGAAGGAAGCTCATTACTTAGAAACTGAATGAAATTGAGAGACATATTGCCAAAAATAATGAGCTAAGTGCTACTACGCTTACTATTAGTATGTAGACAATGCATGTTTCAAATTACAATAAACAAGACAGCATTGTTAGAGACTGATACTTTGACAAACTGTTACTATAAATAAAAAAACAACATATAAAACAGTAAGTAACATAAAATAAATCATCCACTAAGACTTATTAGCAAAAAATTTGCAATATATTTTCAATATATATTAATATACAATTATTACAGTAACTATGATGTTGACCTTTTGTTCGATGTAATTACGAGTTAGTTTAGTGCAGGGATTCATTATGAAACTTCCTCACAACAATAACAATGATGAAAACGCTACTAATCGATAAACATCCTGTTAAGTTCTTTAGATGTTTTTGAAATAAAAGGCATAAAGCTTTTAAGATCAGGGACTTTTTTAAGAGCCAGTGAAATTACTGCAAAAACTACTTTTTCCTTACACCTGAAAGCTACATTGCAATCATAGCTTATTTGTACATGGGTTGTGTTTATATAATGTTATTCCATGCCATATAAAGTACTATGTGAAAGCAAAATTATATGCATTGTTTTTGTTTTGTTACTTTTATAAAATGGTTAATATAACATTTAAATTTGAAAGTATCAATTTATTGATTTTGTTCTTCTTTATTGAAAATCAATTAGAACACTTATATTTGCAATTTATCACATGTTTAAAAGGCTGGCATGACAAAGTGACTACAGAATACTGCTTTGAGTGAGTATGTCCTGATCACAATCTTGTGGGTTCAGACATGTCTGTTATCTTCAACCAGAATACAGTTTCAGGAAAGTAAGAGATGTGAGGAAATGTAACACAATGTAAAAAATAATAATAAATTTACACTTTAATACTAAAGTTCTCCAAGAGTTGGTGGTAGGTGCTGCCAGCTAGTTGCCCTCCTTCTAGTTGGCAGATAAAAATTGGAGACAGCCACAGATAGGCTTAATAGCTTTAACTTTACAAAGAAAAATATAACCTCCAGCAAACAAGTTTGGTGAGAGTGGGAATTGAACCTGAGAACTTTAAATCATGAAGTAAACCCCACCCCCACACACTTCCAACCTAAAAATACTAATAACTGGAAACCCTGGTTTTCATTAGTTTATTACTTTCAAGAGTCATGACACTAATCACATAAGCTGAATAAACTTGACTTAATTGAAAATAATAAAGAAAAATCATAATAGATATATTTCAATAGATGAATAATTGAAATAATCAGAAAAACTAATTTTGTTTAGTTTATTATTTTCATGACATTAATCAATGTAATCTTAAAATCAATTAACTGATTATTTTATGTGGCACTAACAGATGTAAATTCAGCTCATAGATAATCGATTAAGCTACTTAATCGTCCAGCTCTAAACCATTGATAAAAAAAACTTTATTTCTGTCTCAGTAAAAATTGTTGTATGTGTATATGATGCAATTCATAAAATTACCTGTTTGAGAACCTGAATGTCAGATTCATTAGGTCCATCTCCTGTAGTATACCAGCCAAGGAAATCAAGATCACTGAAAACTTGCTTAACTAAAAAATAACAGAATGTTAGATTTTATGTATTATACATACATGTTTAATCACAACCTTGCCATTTTTTTCAATACACTTTTCACAAGATCCTATAATATTCAAGATTAAAAGAGATTTTGATGGAACATGAATCTACTTAAAAGAACAGTTATGTTTCAAACTTAGCATCAATACAATTGGTAATGATAATGCAGATCAAAATGTATCTACAAAACATATGATATCAAAATGGTAAAATGCTTTGAGTTTAAATGCTAAATGATACTGAAAGTTGGAAATATATCTGAAAAAAGTGGAAGTTTTAAACAGAAAACATGGTTTGGTTCAAATATTAACTGATACTAACTATGGAAATGCATCTGATATCTGGCACTTTACGAGCCTATTCAAACACCTTTTCTCTTCACTTGTCATTAGCAGTTACCAATTGAAGGTTTATTTAGTTGCAGAAATATCTTCTTTTGATTACCACCTTTGGTAAAATAACAAATGCCTTTGAACAGCCAGTCAAAGAAATGGTCTTTAATAATGACGCTCCTGCAAAGAGGCACTCACTGCTCGCTGTTAAGCACGTTTGAAAGCCACTAGATACTTGTTCTTACCAAATGTCTTGCAGATTAGCCATGATATGAATACATAAGCATTTATGAAGCCCAATCACCTAAGAAATCAGCATATTTACATCTGCATATAAATGGACTGTATTCTACAAATGCAGTGTAGCTCAATTCAGTGTACAACAGTGTTGCTGAGTTGTCTATTTCTCAATGAATTCTTATAAAATTATTACTCATTTTACTGTATTTCTTCAATAATTCTGTATGTTGCATTTGCTCGCACAGAATGGGTGTGTAGGCATTATTTTGGTTTCATAAAACTACACAGTAAACATCTCATAAAAGATGTGTAGTACTTCTTAACTTGTACCTTACAAGTGAAAATTAGTTGATTTATTTGAAATATATATTTAATAAAACACTGAATAACCTAAACATGTACAATATGCAAAACATAATCATAATTTTGGAACTTACGATTTTATTTTGTATGAGACTTTTTTACATGCAATGGTGAATTTATTCTTATTTTTGATTCTCATCTTTCAGAATGTTTTTAATCTTTTCAATATATATTTGAGATAGAATTTAATTATTAACCAAGTTAGCATTTCTAAATCTGTTATTTAAAGTAGAATTGTATTACAGTTAAATTTAATTCATTTTTTAAAATAAAATTACTAATGAAATTTAAATTAAATTTGTTAAACTATTTCATACAAAATGTTATGGTTTAATGATTTTTTTTAGGTTACCACAACATCAGTTTTACAATTTTACTCCATGTATGCATAATCTATCAAACATGCAATTTTACCCTTAGTACAACTTGGTCATACAAGGTAATTCAAGATGAACTAACCTGATTTGGATAGTAAATCAAATGCATGTTCTAAAACAACCAAATACATAGAGGGTGTCTATAAATAACTGAACCACTTTATTAACTGAAAATAATAAGAACTACACACAATGAACAAAAGAAGTTTGTAATATAATAGTAAAACACCTCAGATTTATCCACAGCCAGTGGTGCCTTTAATACACTTCAACATGGTAAACATTTGTGGCTTGAAGGATGTCCAAGTGTTTATTAATCTTTGCCCATGTACATGCCAGAATCTCTGAAGTAATCATCACAATGGCAATGGTTAAAGTTGTCATATATATTACCTTTATTTTATAGATGATCCTTGACAAACCCCCATCTAAACTAGAGGAGAAAATTTCATGCATCCATCTTCTACATGCTGAAAACCACAACTTTCTATCTAATGTGGTTCCTAATCTATTTAATCAAGAAAGTGGTTGAATAATTTATGAACATCCTATAGATGTATATTCATAAACCATCAATTATTTAAAAAACAAAATGAACTTCAACTTACATTGTTGCTCTTTATGGTTGTAATAATCCTTGTCAATGATTATACTGTTTTCAATACGATCAAATAAGAGCTCAAATGAATTCATTATTTCCAAGTTACGACCCCTTTGTTTTCCTATGAGTGCTCCAATGACTAGATTTGAAACAAAAAGCATTTCAACCATGATACACTAAAATTAGACCTCATTCGAATATTATACATTCTATAATTTGAGAAAAATCTAATTCTGCTTTTAAATTTCTCATTAATATTGAAGCAAGTGAGTATAAGATGCTTAAAGAAACAGTGGTTTTAACCAAAAACCCTTATAACTCAGTAATTCTTAAAAATTATCCCACTCAAGTAAAAATATAAAACTCTTGGATTAGTTTATAAACAGATACATAACCTTGCAACTCATATTTAGCCACCAAGTAATTCTTTAAATTTTAATATGTCTTAAAAAAATTAATATATTTAATTGGATTGTAGGGTGTTTGGATGGGTAAAAGCATATGGCCATTATTAATGGAGTCCAATTGAAATAGACCTTTATTAGCAGTGGAATATCTCAGGAGTTAGGGCTTAGGCTTTAGCTTTCTTATTAACATTAATGATATTGATAGAGCATATTAATAAATTTTGCTGGTACCATTAAACTCTTGGGCATTTCTAGCTGTATTAAGGATGTTGATGTGCTACAGAATGACTTTAATCAACTAATAAGTTAAACACGCATTTTCAAAATACCTTAAATCATAATTATGATAATTTGGATCATGTGTTTAATATAGATATGAACCTGCTCAATAGCCTAACTGATGGAAAGGACCTTAACATAGTGGCAAATAAGCCGTTCGTGCCATTGAAACAGTGCTCTTTTGTTAGTAATAAAACTAATGGAATTTTAGGGTGTGCTTACATGTATATTGATTACTTGTCAAATGAAGCAATTATCTTTTCATACAAATCACTAATTTGGCCTTACTTGGAATACTGTGTACAATTTTGGTATCTTTACTTAAGAAAAGATATTGATTTTTTGGAAAGTGTTTACAGGAGGTACACTAAGACAATTTCACAGATTAAAGGTTTATCTAACAGGGATATGTTAAGATCTCTTGAGAAAAGAACAGTAAGAAGTGATCTTATTGAAGTTTACAAGAATATCCAGGTGATCAATAGGATAAGATCTCTGTCTTCTTTGTGCTATATTTTGAAGATAACAGGATATGATGACACAGTCTATGATTTGAAAAGGAAGAGGTTAGGCTCTAGTTAAAAGTTTATTTTTCTGACACAATGATTGACTTAAGGAATGAGTTGCCTCACAAATAGTGGAGGCAAAAAGTTCTGAAAAGTAATGGGTGGATTTAATTTTTTTTCCCCCCCATGGGTGCCTGTAGGTTCTTCTTCTTAGTTCCTTTCGTTCCTAGTGGAACATAGGGCTACAACAACACTTCGCCGACGGAAGTGTTTTTGTTGCAGTTTCTGTAGGTTATACTATGCTAAATAAAAATATATTTTTTATTAATGATACATATAAATATATTAATAAACTAGACATTACCTCTTTGTATTAGGCTCCTGTTCCCTATATGTTTCTATTTAGATATAGAGCACTCATATAGAGCATTCATATAGATCCATACAATTAACAGAAAAACCAAAGTAAATGAACAGTATATTACTTGTTCATCATCTGACAATCCATTTCACACAATTTCATTATCCAGTGTTAAAGTTTGAATTTTCAATCTCTTGAACATTGTCCAAACCCCTAAAAATTTCAATATATCAGTTAAATAATCTGTATATTTATAGCCCTGAAAATAAACCCAAATCTATCTTTCTCTTAATAGCTAGTAGCCATTCTCTGAATTCTTCAACGTATTTTTTGTAACAAGGAAACAAAAAATTGCATAGATTTCAAAGGAGGCCTCAGCAGTCTTATATAAGGAGACAATGATTTTCTAAGTCTTAATTTTTTTTTTAAATAATACATATCAGATATCCTTTAGCTTCTTTTACTAGAGCTAAATTCTCACTAAAAGTTTCTAGTTTTTTTACAGCAACAACTCTATCTTTTCTCCTTAGTAACATCAGTGGTACTTTCATATCTAAGAAACTATCCAAACTTCCATACCCAAACTTATTACTTTATACTTCTCAATATAAAACTCATTTTCCCCATTCAACTCCGTCACTAAAGTTATCTTGTCCCTCTGGGATAGGAGAAAATTCTCAAAAGTATTAGCCCTTCCTAGAGACATACTACTAATCATCATCAAATTTCCAATAATATAACACTAATAATTCTTCTAAACTGTTGACATGAATAATAAATATCCCAAACAAATTTCTCAACAGTACAACAGATAAGATGTATATCCATGTAATGCCCTAGAAGTAAAAACTGTGCATATGAAATACACATTACGTTTGCCAGTAAGTATATCATTTATATATACCTGCCATTTTGACAGAAACAAACCAGCATCAGCAATAAAATAGAAAGCATGGGAGATAACTATAATTTGATGCAAAGTCCTTTACATTACATCTATGATCTGTTTACAAGAACGACTACTTTATTTTGCTGTCAGGTTTTTATAGGAGCCAGATTCTTTACAGAAGGTATCTGTGACTTGTTGGCAATAAATGTCAACACTAAATGGATAGCACACAATTTATATATTACATATTGAATATATTATTTAAAAACAAGTCAAACGTCAAATGTACAAATTTCGTTACACTATTGGTTATCACAATTATATCCAGAGTTTTAAATAATTGTCTCCATTTCATCAAAGCCCACGCAGGTGGGTTCCATTACTTTATAACACCCTTTGACAAGACAAATTATTCTTTGTCTCTGTTGTTACAATACTACTGTGAAACTCATTTAGATATTGCCCATTATGGCTAAACTAACAATCACACTATCTAACTTCACTTTCACTAACTTACTTTAACTTCTTACTTGCACCCTGTATCTGCACATATTTATTACACAAGACAGAAAAATCTAGAAATATCTAGCCCTCTTTTGGTTCAACAATATTCACATAATGAGAAAAACTTAGAAGCTTCAAGTAAGATGACATCAACAGTACTACAAAAGCCTAGTACAACAATTAAACTGCATACAGCATTAAATACTAAATAATAGCTCTTAAAATGAACAGTCTTGTAAATCCAACATTTATCTTTGGTTTGCTCTCTCAAGCAGTACTGAAGAGCTGTGATTCAGTGAAACTTTAGTTTTTTGCAGAGAGAGTAGTGAATTAAATAATAGATGAGGCCTTTATGGCAATAATAGATTTTTTCTCTACTTCACAAAAATTCCAGTTTCAGTGAGAAAAAGAAAAATTTACAACTGAGTTATACAGCAATTACCAGTATCTCAGAGTTACTGTTGAACTAAAAATTATACCAGACTAATTTTATTGACTGACGTCAATAAAGCACTTACTGTACTGAATTTATGCAGTAATTACCTTGGATGGTCCTTAGTAGAACATTAACAAACACACACACACACACACAACAAAAAGCAAGAACCTGGTAAACACAGCAAAACAGTTGTGTTAGACAATGACAAAAATGACACTGAAATCTGAAAATATACAAGTTTTCAAAATTGCAGTTTAATTCAAACAGGAGAGAAGCAGAGCAATAGTTCCTGGTATATGAAGAAGAGTTACTTATATTACAACTGTATTAGACATCAACAACACCTGTACAAACATAGTTCATCTCATCTGGCCCATCTTGGCTACCAAATTTTCTATTACCACCCTACTCCAAATTATATAAAAACTTTTTAATATATCTAGCCCAGATACATAAATTACTCATCCAGTCTCCTCACAACCTCCTTCAGTGTTGCAGCTTCTATCACACCTGACAGCAAACTATTCCATATGAGACTACTTCATTAAAAGAGTAACTATTATATTTTGGAGTTTTCCACATCTTAAAGTTCTGTACTCTAGTCTTATTGCCTGCAATTCTTTTGAGATTATAATCACCTGGATTTATGAATTACAAACCACTAAAAATCTTGAAAAGTTGATTCATATTTCCCAAGCAAAAATATGTCATGACACTTAAAACAGCAATAAAACTACTCCAAAGTTGGAATCATTCTGATATCCTTTCTCAAATAAGGTGACAGAAATTTAATACAATATTGTTTGTAGAATTTCATGCAAAGTTACTTGGGTGATACCTGCACTATCCATTCCTAATTTAGAAGTAATAAACTTGAGAGAAGGCAGCTAGTCAACATCACACTACTAACTCTTAGGGTACTCTTTACTAATAAATAATGAGATTGATTGTCACGTTATAACACTACCAAGGCTGAAAGAGCAAACATGTTTGGAAAGCAGATTTGAATCTGAGACCCAAAAAATTGTAAGTCAAGTGCCATAACCACCAGGCCATTAATACACTATTCTAAATGTGATCTCACCAACACCTTTAGTTATAGAGTGTACTGATGGTCTCTTTTAACTTCTACTCAATATATCTATGTATTCAACCTAAAATCCTGTTTTCTTTACTATAGATAGTGCACATTGTCCACAAGTCCTTAGAAACTTTCTAAATAGCAATACCCAGATTGTTTGTAACCCATCAATTTCACCTAGTTTCCTCTGCATGAAGATTAGGGGTAATACAAATAGTTTTAAGAACAGGATATCTAGTGGACACTTATTCATCCACAGTATATTACTTTTCTTGGTTGGATATGAACTTATGGAATAGTTTGCCTGAAGGTTACTTGCAACTTGTATCACTGTTCCACACGGAGATCCTTCGTGATTATGTTGGTGTACTATTATCTGTACCTTCCTCTGAACCCTTATCAAGTCAATATCCTTTCTACGATAAGAAAACCACAAATGTACACAATATTCCAAGTGAGGCCTAACAAGTGGTTTGTATAGAGATAATTACCTTTTTGACTTGGTACCAATGTCTTTAAACACACCCTAAAATTTTATTAACTTTACTACTAGTACTATCAACAGAGCTAAGCTTTGATGGCATGAATAACTATACCAAGACCCTTTTCTTCAGTTACACTATTGAGTGGGTTCCCATCTTTATTCAATCATGAATGATACAAATTATGATAACCTAAATGCACTACCATAATCTATGTTCATTTACACAAAATTTTATCTCTTATCAATATCATTAATGCAAATAGGAAAGAATCAAGTCATTGACCCTAGACCACTCCACTAATAATAAGCATCCAGTTTGGCTGAACTCCATTAATAAAAATATTTAGTTTTTCTTCACCCAACCACCCTTTAAAACAATTAACAAGTCTTCCTCCAAACCCCACTGATGTGATTATCTTAGCTAATCTTTCTTGTGCCTTAATTATGGTAACTTATCAAATGGTATTTTGAAAATCTAAGTGTGCACAATCCATAACCTTTACTTGATCTTTACATCATTCAGTTAACAAGTAACATCCTCAAAAAATATAGCAAATTAGCAAAGTAAGATTCCCCTTTGATAAATTCATGTTGGCTTTCAGTTTCAAGTTGTAGCATTACAATGTTACATTACATAATTTATCCCCCCCCCCCAGCTTATATTTATAACATAATTATTAAATTACTAAACGAGGAATAGTTTCACCTTCAGCAACCCATTTTTGGATTCAACGTGTTTATATATTTCATATTATATAGAAACACAAACAGCTTCAGATTTTCACCTTGTTGTGGACTTCCTTCTTGAGCTCTAATCCTAGTCCAGTGTTCAGAAATATTCATAATGACAAGAGGGTGTAAAGAAACTGAAACACTGCCAGTTGTGCCAGAAGCTGCCATTACGTTCTTTGGAATTGGTTCATCAATTTCCATGGTCATTGTTTAACGTGGCAGATGAAATAATATGCTTTTAAAATAATACTTTTTTCTCATAAAGTTCTTTCACAAAATCTCAAAGCTCTTAAATGCCCTTCTATCTCTATCTTAAACACTTGCAAGTGGTCAAGTAAAATATTAGACACTAAAATGTGCAAGCCCTATCGCGCCGTATAACCTATGAAAAGTAAAACGTACGTATCGATGAAAATATTGCGTCATTTATGAAAGTAGTATTCTAATTTAATTAAGTAAAAGTTTATTTCTTAAGAGTTAAAGAGATATATTAATTTTCGTTTTACACATTTTACTAAATTAAATATTTTTAAAATCTCATTTGGCATTATGATTAAAAGTTCATTGGAACATAATGGAATTATTAGTTTGATCTTTTTTGTAAGCTAGACATCTGATCCATTTTCACACTCTTTCAAAAAACATAATGAAACAATGCTTGTAACATATAGTAGATCAACGTAATTTTTGTGTTGATACGTTGTTTTTTTGTTGGCTAGTTCTTTTAGCAAAACATGGCAGTGGCTTTGGAAGGATTGATGACTATTCTTGTGTCAATGCACCACTTGCTCACCCTACTAAGGAATTGTTGCATATTGCTTTCTATTTTAGCTTTGCAAGAGCCTCTGCTGTACATTAAACTCCTGGAAATTTATAGGTGTTGAGGTTCAAATTGATATATTTCATTCTTTAACATTTCTACAAACTTAAATTATTGTAGGCCTACATTACGAAATGCGTACAAACCTCTATAAAAATACTAGGATTATAGTATAATCAACTTATTTCTACAAATACGCGCGATAGCAAACATAGATCCAAATAATTCACGAAAACTCACTGACTTATTCAACTCTAGATCTTGAATTAACTATCTATCTTTAAATAACTCTACACTTTCTTAACAATATCCCTGAATATATTTCAACTCACTCCATATACTTTACAACTATTTGTAAGTATATTCAAACGTAGATTATAAATATGACATTCTGTGAAGCGTTGTAAGGTTAGTTAGAGTGTAAAAAGATTTCACATGAACCCGTCGTTGTGTTAGCTAACTACTTAGTTACTTTGTACAAGTAATTTGATTAATTTTACGCTAGTTAATAGGTGTTTTCAAATTTGTAGAAACCTTAAAGAAAAGAAATGAATAAAGTAATTTATTGTTATTATATGGACTGGGCGTTGAATGATTTCCACCAATGAAAGAACTACACTACAACACTGATGTCAAAAGAGGAATATTATTTCGGTGAAAATAAAATAGAAACACTTGAAATAGAAATGCAAATGTTGAAGATGGCTACCATGTAGTCGAATAGTGAAATTTAAGAGTTATTTGAGATGATAATGAAATTAATAAGACAAGATAAAGAGAAATGAGACATAAAATTTACAAAAGACCAAAAATTAAAAGAAAACCAAAAGGAAATTTCCAGAAAATTAAAAGAAGTCCAAAAGAATCATGACAAGATATATATATATATATAAACAATTAAGAGGAATTTAACAGAAGAGATAAAAAAAGAAAGATACATAATATTTATAGAAGAATTAAAATGAAAAAGAAATCTGACTGAAGACAAGATCAACAAAATTACTGAAGATTTACAAAGAGATTACAACAATAAAATTGATAAAGTATGGAAAGGCTGTAATAACAAAATTGAAGAATTACAGCAAGACTGTAATGAAATATTAACAGTCAAAAGTGAAGTAATAAAAGATATCCATGAGGCAGAAAGGGGCATCAATGAGGTAGAAAAAATTATTGGTGACCGAATAAAACATGTGGAAAATGAATAATTAAATGTAAAGATTAAACCAACCACATCTCTTTCTGCATCAGCTGAGGCATTCCAAACTAAAACATCATCTACTACCATATATAGAACAAAAGACCTTATTTGGTCTATACCTGTTACCACTACTGCTATACTACCTGTTACTGAAGGATCTTCCTAGGCTAATCCAGCCTTAACACTACCAAACCTAGTACCAGAATGTATCTGACAAATTCAACATCAGCCAATTGAGAAACCAATAAACTGTGATGGTAAGACACCATGGGTGGCATGCAATGCTTAGTTTGAAATAATTTCCATAGTGAATGGATGGAAAAATAAACAATAAACCATCCATCTTGCTGTCGATTTAAAAGGGCCAACTTTGACAATATTAAACAATCTTCCAACTAAGAGCTGTAACAACTATCAAGCATTGGCAGCCACTTTATCCAATGGTTCAAAGTGTTGCAACAGAAAGTAGTATCTAGAGAAAAGTTCTGAAACAGGGTATAGAGGAAAGATAAGACCTTAGCCGAACTTGCAAAATATTTGGAAAGGCTTGTCCAGTTATCTTACTTAAACATTCCTTGTGAAATCACGGATACTCTGGCATGTGACCAATTTATAGACATTATAACACGAGAGGATATGAGGATCAAGCTGAAACAAAGCAAATGTATGCCTTTAAAGAAAGTTATGTATTTGGAGATGGAACTAGAATCAATTCAAATTGCAGGAAAACAACTAAAGACACCATCAGATCATAAAATATTGAAACATCAACTTCCACTGATGATAATTTAAAAGAACTAAAGGGATTAGTTAATAGCATTGAATGGAAGGAATAAAACACAAGACAATATATGTTTCAATTGTAGCTAGAAACTACAGACAAAGGCTTATATTGAATAATAATTCTTAAAGAATACCAAAAAGAGGTAAATGTTATACCTGTGGAAATCCTGGCCATTACAGCCAATACTGGAAAGAATAAACAGCAATCATCAAGCTAAGGAGACAGAGCCCAACCAGATCAAATGTTAATCACAAAGCTAATAAGACATCAAAAATCAGGAATTAGTTGGATTTATGAGGAAAAGTTCAGCTGGAAATACTCCATATACCACAAACAAGAAAAGAAGTTCATTATTTGGAAAAAAATATTTCACAAATCCTCAGGCTTATTAATGAAAAACCTTGCAGTATGCTGACTGATAGTGGTTCTACAGTTACAGTTGTTCATTCTGATTTATAAATGAAATATGGGAAATTGCCTTCAAAGACGAAGAAAGAAAAGAAATTGATGTGAACAGCAGATGGACACAAAGCTTCAGAAAAGGGAAGCTAGAACTTATGCTTACTATAGGAAGTTTCTCTGTGCTTCCTGATACATAGGTAATTGACATTAGGGCAGAGTACAGAGCTTAAGCTAACTTCAGATAGGTTCATTGTCTATGGTCAGGAAATCCCTGTGTACTACATAGCAATTACTATAGTAGAGGCTGAAGGTCTAGTGGAAACAGAAACACTGGTCATTGTACCAAAAAGATGTGAGATACTCATATCAGTAGTTAATAGCAATAATTTTGTATATAGTAAATTTGTCATATTGGAAATACATACTCCAGGATGTTATGGGAGATTGTTTTTAGAAGAACTCTCCTGGATGTGAGGAATAAAGATGTTTGTTTGTTTTGAATATCGCGTAAAGCTACTCGAGGGCTATCTCCGCTAGTTGTTCCTAATTTAGCAGTGAAAGATAGAGGGAAGGCATCTAGTCATCACCACCCACCGCCAACTCTTGGGCTACATTTTACCGACGAATAGTGGGATTGACCATAACATTATAACGCCCCCTCTGCTGAAAGAGCGAGTGTATTTGGTAGAACAGGGATTCGAACCCGCATCTCTCAGGATGCAAATCAAATGCCCTAACAACTTGGCCATGCTGGGCTGTAATAATAATGTTATACGCGACTTTACATAGGAAACATTTAAATTGGCTTGTGATAAAGCAAAAGGCAGCCATGCTGTAAGTGCTGATAAAGTAGGATTCCATCAAGATAACACGGTATTATTACTAAAAAGAGTAAACTCCAAAGTCAAGTAGGTATTCAGAGAAGAAACAATCCAAACCAAAAAACATCCATCATGATGGTCCTCGGAAGTATATCAATAACGGAATGGCCAATTTAGTAACACCAGAAAAAAAAATTGTTAATGGAACCTCAACCTGCAGGGGAACCTAGAGTTTTCTCAAGGCTACTTCTAGAAGATTATTAGGAATGGAGCTACCAATGAATTTGCCCAACCACCTACCTAGTTTTATTTTCAATGTTATGGTTAGATGCAGCTTAGCTAGAAGAGCATGTCAGGATTTTGTATGGGTCGGATTCTTTACAGTAGGTGTCTGTGACTTGTTGGTGATAAATTTCAACAATAAACAAACAGCATACAGTCCACTCGTTTTAAAATAATATATTAAAACAAGTCAAACACATATACAACTGTTTGTTACACTATTGGTTATAACAGTTTTGTCCAGAGTTTTCAATAATCATCTCTTTTTAGTCAAAGTTAACACAGACTGGTTTGTCTACTTTAGAACACAATTTGAAAAGATGAATTATTCTTCCTGCTCTATTGTTACAATACAGCCTGTGATAATGTCACTTTAAAATCACTATTATAACTATTGGTTATCACAGTTGTATCCAGAGTTTTAAATATGGTCTTTTTTCCATCAAAGTCCACACAGGCTGGTTCAGTTACTTGAGAACCCAATAGACAAGACAAATTATTTCTTGTATACTCCGTTATTACAATACAATTTGTGATAATTTCACTTTATAAATCGCCAATATATGCTCTTTATAGCTAAACTCACAATCAAACAGTATAAATCTAGCTAAATTCTCAAACTAAGTTTGACGCTTATTATACCCTAAAAGATGCCTAGAACGTTCCACACACTACGAGATATTATGATGCAATTATACTCAATCAAAACAAGAAAAATTTAAAAGATTCGAGAAACATGCCGCAATAATCTAAAAATCGTCAATTCACAACAATTGAACTATACAACATATGATTCATTCTTTAACAGTTAAAAAAACAAGCTTTTGATAAACTATCACTTCTAAAAATAACTGAAGTTAACGGTCGTGCTATATAACTATCTAAATCTTAATTCTCGCATTAAACTTAAATAGAAAGAGTCGTGCATGTCTAACAGAGAAGTTCTAATATGATGGTGCAAAACTAAAATTTGGCATAAACATTAAGAATCGAGAAGCTATGTGAATTTTCTAGAAACAAAAGTACATTATAAGTACAAGTTAATGAGTAATGAGAACTTAT